AGATAAAATGAACTTAGGCTCGAGTGATGCTCTCGGGTTTTGATGAGGTTTAAGAAGAAAAGTTCTGTTTATTTTTAATTTGACTATAAAATAAGCTTTACATGTCAAAAAAGACTAACTAATCAAGAACTAAAAAAAATTTTTTTAGGAAAATATTTGCTAATAAAACAAAGAAAGAAAAAGCAATTTGACAAAAAAATAATTTAAAATGAATAACGAACGATAGTGACTTAACTTTCTTTGTTTTGTTCTTTTAATTTTTCAAAAAAAAGCACAAAGAATTTTTTTGATCTTTCATAAATTCCAGGAGAATCTTCTTCTCGTGGACCAGTGAGATATAAATCTGTAATATTATTATCTTTCATCCATTTGAGACATTGGTCGACATTTTCCTTATCGTTTTTATTAAGATAAATGGTGTGGTGTTTTTTTTCAAGTTTCTTGGCTACTTCGAGGATATAATTTGTATACTTATCCAAAGAATAAGTTTCCAACGGAAGAACAAATAGAACACCAACTGCTTTTATAACTTTAAATGCAGCAACAGTTAAAATTTTTAAATCAATGCCAGTTTCCCTGCCCAACATTGAAGCGAGAGATTGAGCTTGATCTGCGTTTTTTGAATCCTCAGATTCCGAATCTACAGAGATCGTAAAAAACCTATCTGGCTCCTGAAATGACATTTTCAACTTAGAAAAATTGATTGAAAAATGCAAGACACTTCTTTGTGCTTATATAAAAAAAAGAACAATACTAAGTATCATATTTTTTTAGAATAATCCTTATTTTGGCGTATGACAAAACAATCAGTTTAAATTTGCAATTGTTTGAGAATCAAATAATATTAACTTAATTAGTAAGGTAGTTTTTTAATCAGATGACGATCTTTTCCCAATTTTGTTAGTCTAACACCAAAAATCTAAAATTTTCTCAGAAAAAAATATATTAATAATCTTGTGCTCGGTAAACATTCTTATCAAAAAAAACAAAAACCGATGTTTTCCCAGCCCGGGAAAATCTTTCTAATTTAGTCTTAAATTAACAAAAAAACAAAACACAAAATTAGGAATTTTTTTGATACATTAACTTACAGGATAGCAGTTTCTAACTCACAACCAATCAAAACTGTTAACTTCAAACCAAAAAATTAATCGGTATCTTTGTCCTTGATAAGAAGTTTCTCATTTATATGGCTTTTTCTGACCTTGATATTCAAGAAACTTTAAAACTTGTCCGCTCATTTTCTCTAATAATTTTAAAATTAACTCTTTAGTGATCATTTCCCGTCCGGGTTTTTTCAAAGATGATCAGTGATAGTCGCTTTGAGTATTTTTTGATAATTAAAAATAATCTCTAATTCATAAGTTCACTGTCATTCTTGGAATTTATCCGAAAACTTTTCTTTGATTAATTTAAATGGAGGCATGGCGAGCAGAGTTTTTTTGCTCTACACTGATGCTTATTTCCGCCGGAGAGAGCAATTGACTAGCATAAGTTAATAATCTATCCAAAGTAAAACTTTCAATGCAACAAAAAAGAATACTTTGCGTTTCTGCTACACTTAAATTAATTCTCCCAGCTACCTCTTTATCACTCAAATTGTTCTTAATTTGGTAAGCCAAAATTTTTTTACATAACTTAAACTTAGCTACTTGTAAAAGATTAGGATTTTCCGGTAGATCATAGTTTACTCCCTCATAATTTTTTGTAAATACTTTTCGAATTCTTGATCTCTTTTATTCATGTTTATAATTTTACGCTTTTTAGACATTTCTTATTCCTGCCTTTCTCATAGTTGGTTTTAGATTTGCGTAAATTTTTTAAATTTCCCAAGCAGGGAAAGGTTTTTTTCGTTAAATCTTTCGAAAAATAAGTTTTATTAAGTAATCATAATTTTTCCTGCATGGAAATATACAACATAAATACTAAAAATAAAGAAAGACTGTTTTTTTAACAACCGTCTCTTAATACCTAGCATAAGACAAAAAATTTTATTGATAATAAACAAATCATAAATTCTTCTACAAAAAACTTAGAAAAAAATACATCTCAATGAAAATCAAATTTTGTTACATTTTTGTTGTGATTTTTCGTCGATGAGTAAAAAACTAATCGTGTGTTTTTCGCTTTTGGTAGTATCCTTGTAAACCTTATTTTTTTTAGGTTTTTTGGAGGATATTTTTGATGGAATTTAAAATTATAGTATAGATAAAATGAACTTAGGCTCGAGTGATGCTCTCGGGTTTTGATGAGGTTTAAGAAGAAAAGTTCTGTTTATTTTTA